GAACAGACTAGATAAAGCTATGGAAAAATATATGTTCAGATTTGAAATGCCTAGCTCCTTATCGAACCCGGTGGAAGTCTAGTAGCTACTTCAAACTATCGTCAGTCATGAAAAGATCAGGTCAAATGACACGATTTTAGATCTTATGTGAACAAGGCACGAAAAAAAAGAAAAAGAATCGGCGACAGGCCACATCAGGCCTACGCTTCAGCGCCGACATCACTATGTTATGTTATGTTATTAACTCTTAAATTTTTCGAACACCGAAGTGGCTTTAGCGAGGTTGTTGTTATGGATGTTTTGTTATGTTAGTGCGACGATGATGTTTATCTAATGTTTCTGATGATGCTGTTGTAGAATATTAATCATTTATCCCATGTTCACTTCGTAAGAACGTAAAATATTTGACCGCGACCGCAATGAGCTATTATTTGTTCATTATATATCTCCTATAGTTATCGTATCTCTTAACAACCTTATTCTTGATCAAATAGCTACACATTTGCTCTCATTGCTAGAGAAAACTTGCAGCTGAGGCCAGACTAACTTATTCTGTGGGTACGTGGTTAATTGGAGTTGTTTGGTTGACGTAACCTTACAAGCAGAACATTTTCCAACGGAGTGGTTATGTATTCATTTTTCTAATTAATTATTAGCTTCAAACTCGACACATGCAGAAATAACGGAAAATGACTATCAACTGAGATATCAACTGCCATTTTCCTCCATCATTCTAGAATCCAACAACACCTGGTATTAAATAAATTTGATGAAATAATACATTATTAACGAATAAATGAATAAATAAAATATATTGCTAATTAAAATACAATTTTTGACGTTACTGACAAAGTTTGACCCAAGTAAATATTGCAAAACCCTGAATGACGCATCACTACGAATCTCTATCAGTTAGCCATATAGAAATTTTTCGTTATCAGTATTCATTTACTTATAAAACTTCATGCGCTTTAGAGTATTAATATGTTAAAAATTATACTGAAATTTTTAATGGCTGCAAAGCCACACCTCTGCGAATAAAATAGTTAATGTTAATATGTTGTGAAGGGGTGCCTCTAGGTCCTGAGGTCGAAATTTTGGCTTTTCCTGTTTTTAGGCTCATCTTAAAGCTCACTTTCTGACGCATCGAACGGTACTAGAACCATCTCTGTACGTTGAATTATGCATTCGCAACAGATCCCGTAAGAGGGGGAGGTGTCCGGGCCCCTTCAGTAAAGTTAAGGCGGAAATTACCCGGCCGGGCACCATGAAGGGGATCGTCTGATGTAAAGCGGCCAATTATAACATTCTCCAATTCTTATACTCATCTTAAAGCTTACTTTCTGCCGCATCGAACGGTACTAGAACTATCTCTGTACGTTGATTTATGCGTTCACGACAGATCCCGTAAGGGGGGAAGGCGGTGGGGGCCCTTCAGTAATTCCAAAGGGGGAAATTAACTATAAAATATGCTCTTCACTCGACTAGAGCTCAGTAACCTCACAGACAGCACGCGAGATGGTGTTCATTTAGTGGCTCCATGCACCGATGACTGACTTTGAAGTGAGTTGATGCTTACTTTTGGCATCTAGGCTACGTTACGTGCCGCGCGACGGTTTTTTGCCTCTACTGAAAATTTGTCAAAGCTGAAAACCTCTCTCACGGCAATCCTATCTCCTCCTACAGTTTTGAAGCGACATCAATGAGACATATACCATTCGATTTGGGAAAAAAGATCTATAAACGTCACTTGGTCGTTTTTCCAATTTCGCTATAGTTCGGATTTTATTTTGCAGAAAGTGAGGGAGGGCGGGGGTAAAATCGAAAAATTTCGAAAAATATCGGAAAAAATGTTCCCACACTCACAAAAATGAGAAATCCAAAAAACCGCAAAGTGACGTTTTTAGATATGGTTTTTACGCATCGAATGATATGCGTCTCAATGTTGTAGCTTGAAAATCCTAGGAGGAGATAGGATTTCTAAAGTACCCCCTTTTTGGCCGTTTTCTAAGAATTTCATGTCAGAAGAAATAGGTCATTTGGAAAAGAGTGTTTTTTATGGGGTCGTAAGGGTAAGTTTATGGGGTCAACAGTCACTATCATACTCATTGAACAGGAATTTAAGGTCAAAGAGTTATGAGAGCTGGATCGCAGGTCATAATAGTAGACTGGTGTAATATTACATGGGTATGAGGTGTGAGAACTTGAATAAAAAAATATAGAGTTATAGGGTCAGAATATGAAGACAATAGGGTCGGGAGTGTAAGGTCCTGGGGTCAGGAGCGCGAGTTTATGGGGTCGGGATGGAGAGGTGATTAGGAGTCTTTAGGAGGAGTGGCTTTATGAGTGGAGTCTTTGGGCTCAGGAATATAGTTATGGAGTCAGAATGTTGAAGTCATTATAGGGTCGGGAGCTCAAGTTAATGGGGTCAGGAGTTTGTGGTTATGGGGTCGGGAGTGTAACAATCGCTGCAGGACTCAGGTGGACAGGCATACGTCTATTTCTTCAAATTTGCCGCTAATATGTTTTAACATTTAGAATAGAATAGAAGTGTCTGCGTTGAAGAAATAGACCCATGGCCTGTTGCCGATTTTTGAACTTTTCGTGACTTGATTCACAAGGGATCCGGCCTTTGGAACCCGATCTTTCTATGGCTGACGATTGATTGAGATAGCTGCTGGACTTATTGCCTGTTTCGTAATTTGCTAGGCATTTTAAGACTGAACATATGCTCCTGCATAGCTTCGTCTAGTCTGTTTTGAAGATGTTCATACTCGGAGCTTCAACGATGCTATCAGGGAGGCNATTACTAGCGCATTATTCAGATTAAATGTTTGAAGGCCTTGTTACCAAATTTCTTTGCGCGCGCGGACAAAATCACTTTGTAGAGAAAAACACAAACCGATGTCAGTTGGCGCATCATTAGATGAAAAGACAATCTGGCCTTTATTATACTATAGTGACTACGCTAAGACTGCTATTAAAAACATTTGAGAAAGTTACTTATTTCATTATAAATTTTATATTTACTTCACGCTTGAAGAATTAGTAAAAATAGTTCTAAAAGTACTAATGTATCATTTTTTAATCGGGATAACTATTAAGTATATATACTCTCGCCCGATATTATGAGCAATGCCAACGGCAACTCAGAGCACATCTTACGACCTCACCAGATATCTTGCTTAGTTCTTCAACATTGTTTACATCAACTTGAGTTAAACTATAAAGGTAATACTAAAATCTACGGAACGTACAATGGTAAGGGTTGTGAATGATGATCCTGAAATGGCGTAGAAATAGAAAAGTTTTTGTTATTCAGGGACAACATTTTCAAACTTGTTTGCATTCCAAATCAATTGCAATCACATACTCATTTTCAAATGAGTAACTCGAATTATCATACATCATGTGGGAGCTGCACCTCTGATCCTGGAGCGCCGCATCCAAGCTTGATCGATTAGGATTGAGCCAGGGTTGATTTTGTCGATAATTTAACCGTTACTGCATGGCATAGGAAATACGTACTTAACTATTCACGCCAAGTTTGCCTCTTCAAATGGTAAGATATCAGACCGACACCACACTTCGTTTCTAATTGATTTATCGCACTATTATTTATCCCCTATGTAATCGCAATTTTTCACATGTACGCTTCACGTAATCTTTCTGTTTGGACCTTCAGTCATCCGACCGAAGTTTACCTGGACATAAATTGTCATTCGTAGTTCAAACCTCTTTAGTGGCGAAATACTTCGAAACTATGTATTCAAGATTACCCAATAAAACTCCTTGAAACCTGAGTATCGAAATTTCGCTTAAGCCACTAGGGCTTAACAGTTTCGAAGTAATGCTTGCATCGGTAAGTGCTCAACTTTGGAGCTCGTAAATAATACTTCCGAAGGATGCTCCGGACACCAGAAGAATCAAAGGCGGGTTCTAAACCCAAAGAATCTCTTCCCAGTGCTCAACTTGCGTCAGTGACGCGGAAACGCAATGAGCTCAATGAACTCCACAATAATTTTCCCATTGACCGGGATCTAGTACAACAAGAATACAATGAATATCTTCGTAGAGTCGAAAAGTTACTGGAGGCTTGCAACGAACTAAGAACCCAGAACGATTTCGACTCGACAGGGCTTGATAATTGGCTTTTGCCCATTACTCAATCAATAACAGACTTTCGCATCAAAATTGACCAAATTCTAGCGCAGAATTCAAAGATGACGTCATCATCACGTCATGCCAGATTCCACCAATCAAGATCTAGCTGCTCTTCGAATACTTCTTCCGCTCGCATTAAACTCGCTCAGATGAAGGCGAAGACTCAAGCTGAGAAGCTGGTTTTGAAGGAAACCGAAGAGCTTGAAGCAAAGGAGCTGAAAATTCGTCAGGACAAGCGCAAGGCTGAAGTAAGGAGAGCAGAAGCTCCAGACTCAATAACCCGAAAGGTAATGTGCCCTGTCTTGCCTGCTAAAATATCTGTAATGGGTGGCAATGAAATAATTGTCAATGTAGCCCGTGATCCGTGTTCGTCCAATTCTTGGATGAACGAAAAACTTATCTCTGAGCTTGGTGCGAAAACAAGCAGTGTAGATTTGAATCTGTGCACCATGAGCTCGCTTAGTCGCTGTAAGGCCAGGGTTTTAAACAATGTCCTGATCCGTAATCTCAATGGGGAAAGAATTGTTAAAATTCCACTTGTATACACTAAACCTTATCAAAATTGGCCGTTTGACCAATCAGATATCCCTACTGCTGACTATGTCAGGAAGTTTCCTCATTTGAAGGAAGTTCCCTTCAACTTTGTTAATGTAGAAATTGTGCTTTTGATTGGGCTTGATGTTCCTTGCTTGATACGACCTCAAGAAGTTGTAAGCGGTGCAGACGATGAGCCTTACGCCTCTCTGCATTCGCTGGGCTGGGCTCTTAATGGACCCGTTGACACGTCAGCTGACACGACTAATAACTTTCGTACAATTGTAGATCAGAGNACCTACTGTTGAGCCTGTTCTTAATAGTCCTAGGGCCATCAGCCATAAGGTAACATTACCCCATATTGAGCTTCCGACATTTGACGGCAAGCCTGAGTCGTATACTAAATTCATCGTCTCTTTTGAAAATTTGATTGCAAAGTATAATTTGTCTCCTTTCGAGAAATTCTCATATTTGTCCAAACAACTTACTGGAGTAGCTAAAAAATTGATTGAATCACTTAGCCTCAATGACCTAAATTATGACAGTGCTAAGAAACTGCTGAACGATGCCTTTTGCAATAAATTAGATCAACAATTTTCTGTTATATCTAAACTATGTTCACTTAGGCTGGATAATGATGCTAAAGATGCATACACATGGATCGGAGAGGCGAGGTTGCTGGACGAGCAGATTCAGTCATTGCAGATTACTGCCGAAGTTTTTACCCAGTATTTCATGTGGCAAGGCTTGAATGACAAGTTTCGTAAACATTTGACTGCCGTCACGCAGAAAACTCGCCCCTCTTGGCCATTAATGAGAGATGCTTTGTTCGAGGCTAACTCGAGGTTTGTAGAGGAACAAAGACTTGCTCCCGTTGTGTCAATTGAATCTGTTGCTGCAGCTGCTGCTGTGAGATCTAAAGATAAGTTCAGTGTTTCGTGTGCATTATGTTCCAAAGATCAGTCTGTAAATGCCAGTCATCACTTTAGTCGATGTCCGCGATATCCTGACGTGGAGTCCAAAGTAACTAAACTTAAACTTGTTTCTGGCTGCTTGAAATGTGGATACACTAACCATACTACCAAGGCTTGCTCTTTTAAATTCAAACGTAATTGTTTCAAGTGCAATGGACCTCATATGACGTTTTTGTGCCAGAAAGATTCAAAAGCTGTTGGGGGAGCTAAGCCTACGGGCAATGACAAATCTAACGTAAAGTCAACTGTTTCTAACATTGTTTCTACTGTCTCTATGGCTACTGACTCTTACAATGACGTAATTTTGCCTACTGCCACGGTGCATTTTCCTGGCGTTGGAGAAACTCCTGTTAGGGTATTCAAAGACATCGGTTCACAATCTTCTTTCGTAAAAGGTTCTCCGAAAACCATTCCAAATTGTACAATTGTTAGAAAGGTTAAGGTAAATGTGAAAGGCATTAATTCTGTGAAAACTTTCAATGCTCCAGTGGTGCGTTTTCCTGTTGAAGTTCCTGGCCAAGGAGTTCAACAGATTTCAGCCATATGCGTACCCACGTTGAACACGGTGTTGGAAAAAGCATTTTCCACATGCTTCATTAAGCTTAAATATCTGGACTTGTTTTGTGTTGTAAAATTAGTAAACGGAAACTGTAGGTTGTTGAGCGGATAGCCGGAGAGTCAGTTGGAAGAGACACGTGGCGCCGAATACAGAGATTACTATAGCTTCCTGATACGCTAGCCTTTTACGTGTCCAGTGTCCGAACTATTTAATATAAGCTATATAGTCCTTAATGAACTTCTGTTATACCGATTTGTGATTAATACTGTTAACCTATTTTGTGAATAAAGTTATTGAACTTAAACGTCTACAAGTGCCCTTTCCAAATTCGTGGTTAATTATAGAATCAACAGTTAAACAACGCAATGTACTAAAGAACGATCACTATAGGCCTATATGCGGTGCCTCAGCTGATGCAGCAGCTGACAGGCCCGACAACGGAAGTGTCAGCGAAAGGGCTGGTGAATCTGTCGATCTTGTTCAGGGAGAATGGATTTGTTCTTTCTGACAAAAATTTGACCTCTGACCATATCAATGATGTAACCATATTGCTCGGAAGTGACCAATGTCATCTTTTCCCTTTGAAGCAGCATAATTATAAAGTAGGGGACAATGCATTTTCTGTGATCTATGAAACCCCGGCAGGTCTGATGCTGTCCGGCAGCGTGTCTAATTATGTTTCTAATATGTCTGCCGTACCGACCCACCTGCGCGGTGAAATATGACTATCTGTTAGTAGCACGGTGGTGGATTTGATAGAGGATAAAGACTTGATCGATCGCGCCACAATTGACAAAGTAACGCATGAAACGCTAGAATTGATGTATAACCAATTAATTGGAGATTTGCATTCGGACGAACCAATAATGACTGAGGAAAATCAGCTGTTGCTTCACAACATGCTCAAAGATATCGTGCGTGATCCGGCTTCGGGTCGGTTAATAGTACCAGCTTTGTGGAAGCATGATGTATCTCATTTGTTGGCGTATAACTATAAACTTGCAGCATCGATTTTGAAGTCGCAACGTAAGCGTCTTTCCGACGTAAAGTTGCGTCAGTATGATGACGTTATTCGTGAACAAGTCTCCAGCGGTGTGATCGAGCAGGTTTCACTGTCCTCAGAAGTCACTGATAAAGATATTTCATTTCTACCCCACAGTGCTGTTTTTCGGGGATCAGCGACGTCTACCAAGTGTAGAGTCGTATTTTTGTCTAATTTAAAAGATAATTCATCAAATTTGTCCCACAATCAAATTTCGAAACCTGGTTTAAACCTTAATCACAAACTTCAAATCGCTCTTCTATTACTGCGGTTTGATAGATATCTTATAACATTTGATTTACAGAAAGCTTTTCTCCAGCTCTTGCTACGTGAGGAGGACAAGCGGAAGCTCAGATTTTTGTGGTTCAAAGTTGTATCTAAGCATGATTTTACGATTATAGCATATAAAATGTGTCGTGTTCCTTTTGGAATGAAATTTTCACCATTTCTATTGATGATCTCTTTGTACTATATTTTGATGCATGACTGTATGGATGACTCGCCAAAGATTAAGACCATCAAGCAAGCTATCTATGATCTTGCGTACGTAGACAATTTAGCATTCACGAGCAATTGCGCTCTGGATCTTGTGGAGGCAGCTAACGTAGCAGTTGCTACATTTGCCGAGTATGGCTTTGCCTTGCAACAATTTGCCAGCAATCAGTCGGATTGCTATAAATTCACTGCCGAACTTACTGGCGAACAGATTAACAATGATGTAAAATTGCTGGGTATGATTTGGAGTACAAAGTGTGACTCACTTCGTACCCGAAAACCTTCATTGAACCCTGGCGCAAATACAAAGCGGTCTATTTTGAGCTCCATACAGTCGAATTTTGATCCCTATGGCATAAACTTGCCTATTTTGAACCGGGCCAAACTGTTTCTTCACCATGTTCAGAGTGATAGCTCGCTGGGGTGGGACACTGTGTTGGACGGGGCCAGAGTTAAAGAATGGGTGAATATATCACGCCAAGTGAATAATGCTAATGAATTATCGGTTCCTCGTTCAGTCGGGTCCCGCTCTGGAGAGTTTTCATTGCCGGTTTACTGCGACGCCAGCAAAGATTTCATTGGTTGTGTTGTGTATTTGCGGGATGTCGCGACTGGCTCCCAATCTTTTGTTCTTGCCCGAAATAAATTAGTGGCAGGAGTTCTTAAGAACAAATCTATTCCAATGTTGGAACTGGCGGCACTGCAGTTCGGAGTGGAAACTATGATGGACTTGTACCAAAATTTGACTTCAGCCGTGCGACCAATTAACGTAATTAACTTGTACGCTTTCACCGATTCAATCATTTCTCTTTGTTGGATTAGATCAAAAGAAGTAAATCATGACAAAATTGAGAAGAAAAATATTTTTATCAATAACAAATTGAACAAAATTTCCACGCTTTCTGAAGTTCATCCGGTTGAATTCGACCATGTGGTTGGCAAGAACAACCCAAGCGAATACCATCTAATAATTTTGCTAAGAATTTTAATATCTTTTTAAAATTTACTATACAATGTTTTGAATTCGTTTCAGGAATTTTAATTACTTGTTACTTTTTAGACATAGTTTATCTATTTACTGTTGATCAATATGAAGCAGAAGTACAGAACAACTTTACATTCTGACTTCTTTATTATGAATTGAATGTTATGTATAGCTAAGATTGATGTCAAATCAATGAAATCATCTTGACAATTTGCTAAAATATGTTCATTAAAATTAAAAAAAAAGTTGGACAAGAAGAATTAAGAGAGTGTGCACTGTGTTACAATGACTAAGAAAAAAAGCATTTTAGTGGCTAAGAAGTGTGAAAAAAGAAATGTAAGAAAATAAATGTTGCCGTCAAGGCTTCAACATGCAGATGCAGTGAATCTGAATGTTACAGCAAAATGCATGGTCCAAACTCCAAAATGTGACAGCACTCCTCACTCCTGTGAAGTAAAGAAAAGAAGAATTACTAACTCCAATGTGCTGTATTAAAAAATAATTCAGGAGTAAGATTATGGGATTGTGACCTGTATGCCCCAGTAATTCTATAATCTATACCACTGCCACGTCTGCCAGTATGCCCAACTTAAGATGACTCCACCAGATGCATTAAAGCAAGATAGAAATGTAAGGTAAGCAGTAAGCGCCACATTAAGTGTAATTTTAAATTATCTTAAAAATTTGTTAATCCAATCAACAATCATAGCTGCCATTCATGCAATCTGTAGTCTGATTAATATAGTATTAATTCTTTTTCATAGAAGTCACAGAGAATTTCTGATATCATCAAGTATATTTATTACATTCCCATCCAAAAGCTTAAATTCAATTTTCATTCCACTTTTTTATATGATCACCCATGATTCTCAGTCAAGATCAAGTTGTGTTCATAATTATTGTTGTCTGAAAATTTGTGAATAATCTGTAGCAATTTGTTTGCAATTGTGCAAGAATATATTGGAAATTTCCTTCCTAGTTTACCTGTAAAAGATGTTGGAATTTTTTTGTGAATATCACTGCAGGCTAATAACACTTCAAATTTCCTTCATGGTTCAAATAAAAATTTTTTCTGGAATTAGCTGATGCCAATCAATTGAATAAAGTGAGATTTGTCTCCTACTAAAGAAGTAAATATAACCTGCAGTTTAAAGCATAAATTCATTTTGAGATCACTATACAGAGTTGTGATTGCTTTCAATTAAATGTCTAGTCAGTTTAGTGCATAGTATGAGTCTTAATTAAGGAATTTAACACTGCAAAAATATGATCTACGTATTACAATGTTTAAAGCCATAAATTATGCCTTTCCTCATAGAATTTGGAAAATGACTCCTATATTAAATAAAACAAGTCTAATTAATATGCTTTTTCAGTTCAACGATTCTGCTGTGCTCTCACCTACCCACCTCCTCTACTGAAGGAGGAACTTCTCCTAAGCTACGATCCACCATCAAATTTGAATGCAGCCAGGAGGGTCAGTAATGTGTCCCAAGAATAAATTTCCTAAAGTTTAAGGTCCTCACCCCAGAGAATTTCCTCGTCGATGATTTTATAAAAATTTATTAATAAGATAAGGTTTATAGGGTGCCTCAAGAGTACAAAAGTTTGGTATACGAATACCACCAGAAGCCTCTTGTATGTATTAGGAATGTGTTTAAACAACATTTCCACCAACAACAGCAAGTTTAGAGATGCTTGACCCCCATTTGGGTAAGAATTGGGCTGATGCCTGCTCTGGTGCCTAATGGTTAGCAAAATATTTTTTTAGAATGAATTAACATTGCAACTACATTAGGTTTCGTGATAGGTATCAAATAAAAAAATTATGTAAACCAAAATTAATGTAAAACATAATGGCAGGTGAAATGTTATTTTGGCAAGGTATCAATCTATTAGCATACCTATTGAGCGATTAGGTTAGCTTGTTGAATCTGCTACTGTGATAACATTCGTTTTTGTATTGCAGGAACTGGCAACTCATCTTATGAAGAAAATTCCAGAGGTCTCCTGCACTTGTGCCACTTCAAGTTCAAGATGAAGCTAAATTCCAGCTCAGTTCACGTTGGCGTTACTGCAGTTCATGGACCTCTGGCTGCTGTTATACTTCCTTTTGGCTTTGCTGTGATTACCACCGTCACTACAGACCAGCATAGTGGTAAAAAGGCGAGATAGGCAGCACGTGTGACGGGCGAGACAGTTTGCATGTATGGCAGGTGAGTCAGTTTGCATGTGTGACAGGCGAGTCAGTTCTGTCTCTTATACACATCTAGATGTGTATAAGAGACAGTCAGAGACCAACATCAGAGACCAACATCAGAGACCAACATCAGGGACCAACATCAGAGACCAACATTAGAGACCAACATCAGGGACCAACATCAGGGACCAACATCAGAGACCAACATCAAGGACCAACATCAGAGACCAACATCAGAGACCAACNGTTTGCATGTGTGGCAGGCGAGTCAGTTTGCATGTGTGGCAGGCGAGTCAGGTTGCATGTGTGACAGGCGAGTCGGTTTGCATGCATGACAGGCGAGTCAGTTTGGCATGTGTGGCAGGCGAGTCAGGTTGCTTGCGTGACAGGCGAGTCGGTATGCATGCGTGACAGGCGAGTCAGTTTAGCATGTGTGGCAGGCGAGTCAAGTTGCATGCGTGACAGGCGAATGAGTTTGCATGCGTGACAGGCGAGTCAGGTAGCATGCGTGACAGGCGAGTCAGTTTAGCATGTGTGGCAGGCGAGTCAGGTTGCAAGCGTGACAGGCGAATGAGTTTGCATGCATGACAGGTGAGACAGTTTTCATGCATGATCGACAGACGAGGCAGTTTACATTCTTGACAGGCGAGACAGTTTGCATGCGTGACAGACGAGACAGTTAACATGTATGACTGGTAACTTAGGTCACAGGCGAGAATTTGCAAGAATGGCAGGCGAGACTGACTGCCACTTTTACCAGAACTAGGTGTAAGAGCCAGCGTCTTGCTGCGTGGCAGCGGTTAGCAAGTAGGGGTAACAGACTAAAAAAATATGCATCATTTTTTATGTAAGAGCTATTTCCCAATAAACAATGTTTGCTTATTGTTTGCGTTTAATTCTTCCACCTTTATTCCACTTTGATAGGTAGTGCTTATGGTGCACGAAAATTCGGTCCGAGTGCAGTAGGAGAGCGAGCAGAAGTGAGTCATGGCAAATAGTTTCGGTCCAGAAGTGGGTCAATATGACCCACAAAGGCCCAAAGTGAGTCTAGGAAGTAGATCAGATTTGGGACGGGCCATGAATCACCTAAGTGGGTCATCCAGACCCACCCATTTCTCTCAGTGAGTGCTAGGGTACGAGGTAAGTTGGGTACAGATCGAGCGCTAGTACGAGTATAAATTAAGTGATGCTAATGAGGTCTGTCTTTTAAGGCTTTCGACTTGCTAACGTGATAGACCAGAATTGTTGGAAGCTACGTTATTATAGGAAGGGACTATGCTAGGCCATCTCCTGAACAGGGCAACGGTAACTCACAGCTGCAGATCCTGACCGCCGCAGGTTAGTACATCGATGTCCACACCTCGCGCCTTTCTCACGGAGCAAAGAGGCTTCCCGGATTCTGACGCGGGCAAATATGCAGAAGTTAATGATTCAATTTATAAGTTAGAATATGTCATGGAAAATCTAAATTGATTTTTAGGATGGACATAATAATCTTCGCAACCATCAGCTACTGTAATAAGCCAGTTCCCGTAAGTCTGATATATTACATCAGACATTATTATATCTTGAAACATAGTAAAAAGTGTTAAAAGGTAAAAATAATGGTACTAAAATGCAATGATAACGTCAGGTAAGTTAAGCGTTTAGAACTTTTAAGAGGATTTCAAGACGGTAATTTACGTAAATTAGGATTTAAAAATACATAGATATTAGGACGGAAAACACATTGGACACTGGAAATATAGACAAGATAAAATATTGTGCCTATTTCATTTGGTACATAAATTATCACTTGTGTTATTTTCACTCGTTTATGGATGGGAGAAGAGACGAGTGGAGAGTTGGCCTTGAGATTGGGCTCCTTTACCGTGAAGTAAAGGAAAAATTGGGATTTCGAAAAAAGCTACAACGAATCGATAGATATTGTCCTCGCGCATCTAATGATATGCGTCTCGATGTTGTAGCTTGAAAATCCTACGAGGAGATAGATTTCTACAGTACCCCCTCTCTTGGCATTTTCTAAGAATTTCGCGCTTTCTTTAATTATTTAAAAAAATTTACATGAAAAAAATATTAGATTTCGGTTTTACATATATATACCAAATTTCAAAGTGATCCGTCTGTCAATAGCCGAGATAAAATTTTGGCTGACGCTCTTAAAGAACTCCACCATCCCTTGTCCTTTCGCGATCTTTCGTGAACGCATGATTCAACGTACAGAGAGGGTTTTGGTGTCATTGGATAAGTCAGAATGTCAGCTTCAAGATGAGACTAAAAACCGGAAGGGCCAAAATTGTCGATTTTGGACCCAGACGCTCCCCTTATGCAATTTTGCCTGAGGGCAAAAATAATGTAGGAAATTATTTGGGACTAAAGGTGTTAAAAAAATTAGGGAGATCACCCCAAAAGAAGAGATAAAGATTGGTTTAGTGAGCGATCTCTCTTACCTGCTGGTTCTGTCGTGACGGCTGTCGCCATAGCAGCAGAACATGCGTGGTAGTCGTCAGCGGTGCAGCTTTGTACCTGCGAGTTATGAAGCGTTTGTATTACCATAACTGAGCGGAATAATTTCGACATAAAGTCTATGCTATTTTCATGCATTAATAAATGCGCTGGCGATAACTCAATTAAGTAATTAATGTCGGGAGATTACCAACATTCAAGTAGCATAGGAATTGCGCATACCAGCACACTTGCTCCAATCTGCCAGCCCAATTGACCGAACAAGTAACTGGAGACATTTTAAAATCACGCAAAAATATGTAGACTCGATCGGTTCCGTAATGGCGTTTGTGGCTGCCGAACAAATGTAGCTACGCGGCGCACAGGCGCTGAATGGCGGCTGTAGTGCTGCGGCAGCCTAATTTAAAAAGGCCCTTACTCTGAAAACCTGCCTGTATGTATTGTGGAAAGAAAAAAGTATCCCGCAAAAATGTGATATCTGAGCATTCTAATTTGAGTTTCTCGTAATTTGCTAGTGGTCAATCGGAAAACTCGGTAACAAATCTCAAAAACTTATTCAGTACGAATCAATATATCTGTCTTGAGTGCTGGAAATATTTCACATACGCAAAGTGAAGAAAGTGGTATGATTTGGTAAGTAAATACAATAATGGTTATAATGTCCGTCGATCTATATTTTGTATAATAGAACTAGAGTTACCATGCGTTTCTCTTGTCCTGCCTCAGTCCTACTTGGAACAACAAAGTATCTTGACTCTCAGTTACAAATCCATCAGGTGGTCATTGAAAACGACCACCTGACAATAACAGATCAATAAAATTGGCTTCTCGCGAAACTTTATCGGAAAAGAAAATAAAACATAAAATACGGATTTATTCCATGAGAGAAAAATCGTTGCAGAAAAAAATAAGATTTAAGATTAAATCAGAATTAGGAAGAAGCGGAAAGACTTCAATAAAGAATTCCTGTTAAATTTCACACATGAGTTATTTAGCATCTCTAAACTATTAGATAATAAAGAAAAAATTTACAAGGTGAATTTTTGAATGTTTACGATATAACGAGTAGTTTTCAAGAAGAAGAATTTCCATAATACATCAGTCATGTTTATGAAATTGAAAAACTTCTTATATGAAGAAAGTGAAATTGTAATTCAAGTAAAAAGGTTATGATAATCCATCATGGATTCCGTAAGTTGATCCCATATCGAGTTGAACTCGTATCGAGTTGAACTCGTATCGAGTTGAACTCATATCGAGTTGAACTCATATCGAGTTGAACTCGTATCGAGTTGAACTCATATCGAGTTAAACTCATATCGATTTAAACTCAGTATCGAGTTGAACTCATATCGAGTTGAACTCATATCGAGTTGAACTCGTATCGAGTTGAACTCATATCGAGTTAAACTCATATCGATTTAAACTCAGATCGAGTTGAACACACATCAAGTTGAATACATATAAAGTTGGAAAAACATCAAGTTGAGCACAAATCAAGTTTTGAGCACAATCAAGTATTTAGGATCCTTTTGCAAGAATCGATTGCGCGATGGGCGAATCTGCGTAATTAGGCTGGTCAGAATCTGGTATTAGGGCAAACCATTGCCATCTTCCGCTCATGGAATGGCGTGCACACGTACGTTTGTTAAATCATACGATGGATCAAGATGAGAATTGAATCAACAAATTTTTTAGCTTACATAGCTTACATGATAATTAAATACTAATTTCATTACGTATACGACAAATTTTTTAGACAAAAAGATGTCATTATTTTTTACTATCCTACATTTATAAACCAGAGGCTGCTTCGAGCATGGAAACATGATTATTGGGTGGAAGGGGAGAAACACACTTGATAAAGAGTACGTAACAGAAAAAAATCAATGCCTGTAGCTCTATGAGGTAATTGCACTTCCTTATAACAGAAGCAACTGATATGCAAGCTGTTAATTAGCAGAACCAGGAAAATATGGACGTCCGGTTTTGCCTTCAGGGCCTACAAGTTTATGATTGGTTCAGATCAATATGATTCCTCGATTGCACTGCTTGATATTGTGATACCGGTGCATTGCCTGCTAACAGGACAATGTTCCTTCGGTTATACAAGGAAAGTCTACAATATGAATATTTTCAGGTCAACATAATATTGTGCTGAGTGTAATGGGCAAAGTACCCAGGCACTTCACTACTTTTTGAACAAATTAAAACAAATTCTATTCATTGGTCCAAACGATATCGATAACAAAACTTTGTCAATTTTTTCGATTCGTATTTTTGAATTTTTGTTACAGTATTCGCAGCGCAAAATTTGTTGCAATACGTGTTTAATGTTTAAATTTTACCCTGATATGAAGGTAAAGCAGTTGGAGGGCGCAGACGCTGCAGTCGCTGGCGGCAGTGCGTAAGTGTTTCTTGTGTTGATTAGGTGTCGCACGACACACGCTCCTCGTTTCAATCGTGCAATCTTGCCATGAAAAGTGAAGTATGTGGCTCGAAATTAATCACCAGGGGCCGTATTATCAAAACTTCGTAAGTACGCAAAATCGACTTACGAGTGGCGTAAGTGCTGACTTGATGACGTAACTCTAGAGGTGGTATTATCAAAACATTTGCGCGGGAAGATACGTAACGTAACTGTACGCCTGCTAGGAGATGTCGTAAGTGGAGTTCTGCACAAGTTTACAGTGTCTGCTGAAGCGATAGGAAACTATTGATTTACTAGCAAGTAGCAACACCTTGACTTGTGATAGAATTTTGTCAATAATCCGACAGCGCGGATTATACACGCATAGAATGATGGCTCTACTTGTGATATCTCCACTACTTGATCGCGCAACATTTGCACGATCAACTTATGTTATCGTGCTAAACAGTGCTATTGGAAAAATTCAATTAAGTTAATGCCTGAAACTGATTTTGTTTTCCTTCTACGTTATATTTTACAAGCAAATGCATATTACGTTATATTTTACAAGCGCGAAAGCAAAGCTTTCACGCCCAACTCTCATCATTCATTCCTTCTAGTCGGTACTTTATATCTCTGCCAACCATAATTTTTAGATCCGTACACAGATTTCTTCTTCAACTCACGCTGTTTATTAAAAAGAGTTCACAACTATTTTAGAACGGCTTTTTCTGCGCCAACAAGGAGCAATACCAACAGACAGCATTCGATAGTCGATACCATCGAAGGCATCGATTCCCGCCATCGAAGCTCACAGAATGTAAACAAATCCAAAGCCTCTGATTGGTCAGTTGGCCAGATGGTTTTGATAGTGCGCTTTTAGCTAAGTCTTACGTACGAATGTTTTGATAATGCCAAAATTAGGGTGTACTTACGTAACACGTAACTTTTTTGTCGGAAGTACAAAAAGTTACGAAGTTTTGATAATACGGCCCCTGATTTAAAGGTTGAATACGTCAGTTCTGAACATTGTTAGAAATGCAATTTTTTGGATTTCTGTGCAGTGTGCAAATCTTCATAAAGTAAGCTCGTTGGAAAACTTGACACTGGCTTGGCGGCATTCGACGGATGTTTCAAGGATAGCTGGATCGAATTGTGGAACCGAAAATTGAGCATTGACAACAGTCGACTAAGTAGAAGCTTAGTTAGGTGCACCGTGCAGTCTTCCGCACCGAGCCGCTGGAAGCGAATTTATGCGTTTAAACAAGGATGCCGAGTGTATTCGTTAGTAACTGCTTTGATTGCTTCCCGTGAATGTGTTTTTTTTTTTCGTTGTAAAATCAGGTTTGCTACCAGAGTGGAATCAAAGTGTCGTTATGAATTTGATTATTTTAGAAGAATTACAATTATTAAAAGACAAATTTCTGATATTGCTTATGAGCATGGCAATGTTTGGAGGGCAACTGCAATTTCGACGGTAAAAATTGTTCTATTCTTTTTGACAGGCACTGTAGGCAGAATTTTATAGGCCCGTGCAAACGGAACTTACTAGTGACGTATCTTGAGATGACAAGTCGGTATCAAATTATATCCTGGTCGTTATGCCCGCATGCGGGCGGAAATAAATGCAAGCGAGTCTTGCCTCGAATTTCATTACCGCAAAAGATTCATAATGATAATATTATTAGTCATTCCATCCCTGGAAATACAGGAATTATCTACCACATTTGAACGCATCATGTTGAAATGGCTTATACAAATCAAGTTCATGCATTAAAACTGACCCTTGTAGATCAACTAGACTGTTGTTAGTGAATGTTTTGGGAGAATATTTAGGACTGATAATTGCAAGATGAATGTTTGGTATTGGTGTATATGTGGTAGAATGCTTGGTATTGGTGAATGTTAGAGAATGCATGGTACTGGTGTTAGATTAAAGAACGCTTGACACTGGGTTATGTGACAGAATATTTTGCACCGATGTATGAGGTGTATGTTTGTTACCCAGATTAGAGAAGAATGTTTGATAATGCATGGTAAATGAGGTAGAATGTAGGGGTAGGATTGGGTAATGCAAAAGGCGATGTTTGTAATGAAACGTCTCTGATGCATTACAAGTATTCTTACGTGAACTTAATAAAGGAAATTAATCAAATGATTATGATGGTAAACGTCAACAATTTATGTTGAAAATGGAATCATAGAGCAAAGTAATTACCGGCAGAATTAGTATCATTATACACACTTTAATTAAAACTGCAATAAAATTTTATAAAAATGAATTTCATGAACTGGCATTGGAGGGGCTGGATATGTATAATTTTACCTCGAATATCGATAAAATAAATCATAAATTTCATTGGAAAGTTATGGGTGATACAACAAATGTTATAAGAATCCCGACCGCTTGCCGCGAGATGGAGTGTATAAATAAGTATATTAAAAAAATACTCATGGAATTTATTGATATTAAGGCAATTACGATTCAAGTTGAACTCAAATGCTTAACATTTAGGATAGCTAGTCACTATCCTAAACTAAAAGTTTATTTGAACAAACACAACAGCAACGTACATACGCTGTTAGGCTTTGGCGCCGAGATCTTGGAAGGTGAGGAGAACATGTAAGTACGAATGTAGTAAATATAACGTCTGTTAAAACGTTATCAGTGCTGTATAATAAATGTACACATCGTAATGATGATTTATGTATATAATAACTTGAATACATTTTCCCTAACATCCCCCATGGTATTAAAATATACAGTATTTTGGCCAACTAATTTATACTTGAACTCTTAATTTGGTTAGCAGAACAAAATATAATTATTTTCATTAGCCGAGGTGAAGATATAACAGTTATATTGCACTTGGGATCAAGAAGTGTAGATTTATTTTAGATAACTTATTAAAATAGTGAGCAGAGAATGTAACGGAACTGTTCAAATTGATGAATCAACTGAAAAAATTGAACCGTATGATTATGGGCCTCAAATTAAAACTGATTTAGATCGTGATCTTGGTGACAGCAAGATTATCAATCAGAAACAAGATCAGTATTGACTACCGTCTTAAAGTAGTGTTAATATCGAAGTATCGAAAGAGGATGGCAGTAATTATAATTCCAAAAATGATAAAATATAAATAATAACAGACTGATGTATTTAATCGACCGAGTATCTTATAGAATAAGAAACATGAAGTTTAGGGCTATAGGTATACTGGTATTGCAACAACTGCAAAAGATTGACAACGTATCGGCAAACATGCAGAGAAAATATGATGTTCTTCTGGAGTCTCGATAGGTGCTAGGAAAAACCAAAAATTTAATGGCTGAATCACCGGGAGTAGCGATTATTTAGAAGCCGCTGATGGTAAAATCAGTGCCACAATTCCACCCAAACATTTTTTCATATTAAGTGAAAATCGAATCAAATTAATTTATGGAGTCAAGTACGACTTAACCTTGAGAAGAGGTGACGACGCTAATGCCCCGTCCGAGGCTAGTGAGTACAAATAATCAAGAAAAAGTTTTCGATGTCGAAATTTATTTCAAACGACAAATCTGGAGAATGCCAGCTAACAAACATTGCGATGAAGATAAGATTAAATTGTATCGCCGTAAACACGATAAAATTCGAGTAACAATTGCATATTTCAATCGACAATTAGAATGGACAATTGTTGGACGTTGAATTAGAATAAACATTTTACTTTGGAACCAGGATGAGAAACTCAAAGACCACGTTATATCATTATTACACCTCAACTGCTAGAGATAATTTAAAACTTTCAAATGCACTATCTGAGCACTGAATATAAAAAATGCATTTTTTCAACCGAATAATGATAGGTATCCTGAGATAAAGTTGCAAATTAATTCTGATAATAATATGTATGTAGTAGTTCATCAAATGATGCAAGATCATGCATATCAGGCAAATTGTCCTGTTGCATACATACATTATTCGTTTTTACAACCTATTTTCATATTAGATATCTGTTGGAAAAAATAAATTTCAATTTTTGCGCACTGCCTTTCGCCAAATGGGTTTCCGTCACCCGTGGTGTATACTCATCTCAAGAAACTTAATTTTAAGAAAGATTAGTGTGACAACATGACCGTTGTGGGTTGTTCATTTTCATACTGTAGCAGCAAATCTGAGACAATAATGAAGGTATTCAAAGTTTTATTTGCTAAATTCCTTCCAAACATTAATTTACGTGCATAGTTTGCGCAAAATTCTGAATTCAGCTCGTTATTTAAGAATACAGATTCTATTGCTGTTGTTATGCGATCGTTTCTAGTTTATTAAAACAGTTGTGCGCAGTGTGCATCAGAGTACGTCAGTATATCACGCAATTTTTATGGTAGGCAGGCAGAGAATAAAGGGATGATTGTAGAACAGGAAACGCACTTGGACAACACATTCAATACGAACGGTGCAACGTTCCAGTATCCGATGGGGAATTTAAAGTTTTTGCTTCCACAACCGGCGTTTTTTGACCTACAAATTTTAGAACCTCTGTATATTTTCAAACAGAAGTCTAGTTTGAATGACGCCACAAGTTTCTATCCTCGCGAAGTAAAGGATCTTCTGGTTACTTGATGCTGGTTTGCCGGGTAAAGTCCATGAATTGGGAGTGCAACTGTATTTCGGTCAATCCGACAGGATGATGTGAGTAAGCATGCTTGTATGCGTAATTCCGATACAACTTATACCTGTGCAGTAAAGTTATATGAACATACTGGTATTCCTAGTATATAGTTCCCTACACTAGGGCTGACCTCAATGTTGTACGTGCGTTCAGGTTGTAGTCCCTGGATTGTGTGGCAGAAGTGGGCTGCACTGTCGCTGCACTCCGACTCTTGGACGTAGCGAAAGACTGTAGCCCCCGTGACGCGGTAGCCGCTGACCGCAGCCATGGGAGGACAAGGTTTCCTCCAACGCAGGCTGATGGAAGTGGACGTCGTGGAAGAGGTCAACTCCTCCACAGGCCCAGGAGCTAATGATAACCACGGAATGTTTGAATTAGAAGAGGTCTTCTAATTCAAAATTTTTAGCGCACTCTTACTATTTGCTTTGCTTGAAAACAATACTTCCAGAGTTGAGAAGGTAATATATCTAATAGAGTTCTATGCAGTGAATGATAACGGCGTCATCTTCATTTGTGACAGCTAGTGAGGAATTAAGAGGTAATGGATATGGATTCTCAATTATAGCAGTAAAAAGAGGCAGTCTCGCTCACCTTCGTCCGGCAGAGTCTTGAACACTTCACACTGCTTGCTGTCTCCTCCCTCGTTGTATGCGTACACGCAAACCTCGTACTCAGTGTACGCCTGCAGCTGCGTCAGTTGCAATTCAGCAGTGCTCAGATTACGGAAACGTTGAACATTTTCGACATCATTGGAGGCACAACCGGCTCTTCCCGTCATCTGAGGAAAGCAGGCATAAAATTGTGAAACTTGCGGTATGCATGAGGTCGTTCCTGGAGCAGCTCTATACCCCCACCCCCGCATTCGTACGTAACTTTTACGGCCACGTGTACGTGGGTGTCGGGGCATCATTAGGAACTGTGGCTGCATCATTAGTGAGATAAGAGTGATAGCTTCTCTTCCTAATATGAGAATTTTTTCGAATTTGATGTGTGATTTTGAACTTGCTTGAATAAAGTTATATGAAGATGTTGGAAATTGTTTTCGATGTTTCAGTTATTTTCAGTTATTTGTTTCAGTTATTTGTTTTCTATGTTTCAGTTATCAGTGTTCTCGGGACCAACGTGCAAGACGGTCATTACCATCTCAAATGATGGCGACATACTCCTGCCTTTCGCCCAAGCCTAATGACAGTGTCCCACATGAGCGGCTGTTGCGTAAATTGAAGTCTTTGGGGATTGAGAGTAATGTACTCAAATGGATCAGAGATTTTCTAGTAGGGAGGCGACAACGAGTCAGTATTAATGGGTCCGTATCAGAATTGAGGCTGAGTAGGGGGGTTGGCCCCCCGCGGCAATTGACGGTGGCTCAACTCTTCTCTGTGCTGCATTATCCAAGTCTTCTGGATTGAAAGCCAAACAATCACAAGTGCGCGTCACTACGAATTGGTTGCTGTGCTCTCAAAGTGCCCCTGTTCCTACCATTTATGTTACATTTGAGTGTAATACAATATACTCGTGTTTTCGCTCCCTCCGCTCCTTCTATTACTATGCCTTTTCCCTACGGGACTTTTCTACAAAGAGAGGGGCAGTAACCCTCATCAATACCTCGACTTCCATCTTACTCATCACGTCACCATACATCATCATCGTCATCAAACCATATCATCAACCATGAAAACCACCTCCCTAGTCACCAGCAACACATAACGAACGCGAGCTCCGACGATACTTCCGACGAAAGTCTTTGAAACTCCGACAATACTTGCTCAAGTGTCATCTCCGTCACAAACCTTGCATGCCTGAAACTGTTCAATTGTGCTTAATTTAATAGTGAGTTAATGAATATTACCTGGGCCTGTGTTTCAACATTCTGTTTTAGTGACGCTTGAGATGGAAAGTAATACTGTCATCATTAGCGACATTAATTAACATTATTAAAAATAACCATAGTCAGTCATCAACCGAAATATTTATCACTGAACAAGGGCCAATGGCCATTACAATTTTCTGGTGGATTAGAGACCTATTCAAGCATCTCTAGCTTCACAGCATTAGGTATACAGGCGAACTGGGAAAGTAGGAATACGGACTGAAGCTCTCGATGAAAGGCCGTAGACTCTTCAAAAGTACTCGACTACCTGAGAAGGGAAAAAGTGAATAACAAACCACCCTTATAATAAACAACGCTACCTTGACACTTTCGTTGCGAAATGTGCGCAATACGAAAGTGTATGCATGAAAGGCATACTTTCGGATGCCTTGACAAACATTTGACAACGACCCCATGAAAGACGGAACAATTCACATTTAGGCACACTAACTACTATACATATTCAATCACTTCATTTCCGCTGAATATTTCCCCAGATGCACTGACACCTTCCGCCCGAAACTTAGCACGACATCAAGTGCAAAATTGCGAACCAATTTATTGTTAATTAAACGTTCACAGCAGGCCAAAAACAAAATACTAAACACCAGATTGTAAGAACACTTCACCATTCACCACACTCACAAACCTAGACAATACATTTTTTGGCAACATAGAAGGACACACTGCTTTAGCCTCATTCCTCGAAGCACTCGCCATGCACACATCTAAACGATAGATTACAGACATAATACTCCGTAAAGTGACGACTGAGATGCCCTTTCGTGCAAAGCCTCACCCTGCAGCGATATCATGACACGGCGATGAGAATGCAGAAACAGTGACTTTAGGTAACTTGCAGTAACGATGATCTGCGATCCCCAGGTAACTTCCGATGCATACAACCTTATTCAGCAGAACTCATGGGACTCTAGAAGGTTTCGGTGTTAAATATGATGCATAATTCCCAAATGCTCTGGAGGGACTCGACTTCCATTCTCTTTGTCTTATTAGAATCGGGAGCCCCTAAACACTACTCCAGACTGCGCTCCAACAATTCGCACATGCCCTATTGCATTCTGTCTAGCGCATTCTTATTCTTTAGAGGCCCAACTAGTGCACTTACTCTGGTCTTGGGCCTAATGTACTAATTTTTACATGGCGGATCAATTTATTAAAATATTTATTTATATTCTATTTTGTTCATACGAGTATGGTTCGGTTCAAAAAAAAATCATTATATCAATGACACCAGAAGGCAAATGCCTGACGAAGAGATTCAATCATAGTCTCATTTACTCTGAAAACGTCCTAACTTCGAAAAGCCTCACCTGAGAGCTAGGGTTGCACTGCCCCAGCACTCAGCACGGACCACCGTCAGCACAGGCACCTTCATCTTTCGGATGCAAGTCCTGGGGGGAAGGGAGGAAAGCGTTACCTGATAGATAACAAGCCGCTCCTGACTTGATCTCCTGACTTAGCTAAAGATACGTTAGATTATTGTCGGTGTTTTGGCGATGAAATGACTCGTTTGAGAATACAGGCCATGCATAATACATTCATACATGTATAAATTGCTGCTTTACATGTATATGCAATGTAATGCGTTTATCATTATAGCAAAGATCGGTATAAAAATGCTGACCAGCTTTGAGAAATCAGCCGGGATGTTGAGAGCAGCCTTGCACCAATAATTTTGAACGTCCATTAGCTCTGGATGGAGCGTCTAGAATCCATTAAGTCCACAAATCCATTTCCGAATGAGGTTGTCCGTGGCCAACTACAACATTCTATTTTATACATGTAAAGATATACTGACAAATTGCGGAAGCGAATAGTCCAGGTACCTATGTCTGTCCACCAGTAAACGCTATATCGAAGCATCACTTAATTTGTACTCGGACCAGAGCTCGATCTGTGCCCAACTTTCCTCGTGCCCTCGCACTGCGTCCAATCTTCATAGTTGAATGAAACCTGCCTGGGATCTTCATACCACTTATCAAATAAGCCTTCCGTACTAGCTGGATGGCGTGCTCATACCTAAAATACCAGAAAAAGACTAATTTCTTAGAAAAAACAATCATTCCGTTAAAATACCTTACCAGCATTTACTGCCAGATTCTAGGCTTGGAACGCAGAGTATAATAAAAAAATCCATCATCCATTCGGGGCATTAGCTGTTCGCCCGAAATTAATTCTTTTCCGGTATCCTAAGTATGAGCATACCGGCAATCTGGTGCGGAATGCCTATTTGATATGAGGTATGGTGGTGCCCGGCAGGTTTCATGCAACAATTCAGGAGAGCTATGAAGATTGGTCGCGGTGCTAGGGCACTGCGAACAATCAGACAGAGTACAGATCGAACGCTTGTACCAGTAAAAATTAAGTGATGGAAACGTAGTCTGTCTTTCAAGGCTTACGACCTGCTAAGGTGATAGACAAGAATTTTTTGAAGCTACGGTATTGTAGGTAGAGATTATGTTAGGCCAACTTATGAACAGTGTAAAGGTAACTTACGGCTGCAGACCCTGACTGCAGGTTGTCACACTGATGTCCACACCTCGCGCCTTTCTCGCGGAACAAAGAGGTTTCCCGGATTCTGACGTGGGCAAATTTGCAGAAGTTAATTATTTAATTTATAAGTTGGAATATGTCATGGGAAATCTTAATTGATTTTTAGGATGGATATAATTATCTTCGCAACCACCAGCTACTGTAATATAACAGCTCCCGTAAGTCTGATATATGATGTCAGAAAAGATTATATCTTTAAACATACTATAAGTGTTATAAACTAAAAATTAAGTACGAAAATGCTATGATAACGTCAGGTAAGTCAAGTTTTTAGGGCTTTTATTAGGATTTCAAGAAGGAAATTTAAAAGTAGATTTAAAAGTAAATATTAGGAAAGAACACACATAGAACCCTGGAAAATATACGACAAGATAAAACTTTTCCTGGTTGTTTCATATGTCAAATAAATTCTTACTTCTGTTATTCTCTGAAGTTTNCACTCACTCAATTTATGGCACGTGTCCGTGACGTTGTGCAGCTCGTGACATGGTAAACACACGTGTTCCATGCCGGGCACGGAGCACCGGCACAAGGGGGCGTCACAGCGGGACTGCAGCCTCCCTACAGCAGGAAATGATCCATGCTAATTAGGAATTTTGCTGAGCCTCTTAGGCACCGCTTATTCTAACAAGGCTTCCTGCGGTATCGGGAGCAATGTTATCAGTTGCGAAGACACTAGGATAATATTATTTGAACTTCAGAATTATCATTAAAGATGGCATGAATGATAGTCTCTACAGGATCGATGACCGATGACTAACATAAGGGAATGTTATTTCGATGTTGTTGTTGGTTGGTGCCGAGAAAATATACCTGTGGAAGGGCCCCTTCTCATTATACCGATAACAGGGAGGGATACAAAAAGGATATAAAACGGAACTACACTTCAGCCTTCAATTCCTTGGATGGGAGCAGAGACGAGCGGAGAGTCGGCCTCTGCAGTTAGGCCTGACCCGCAATGTTCGCCGGTATCCCGGTCAGCGGTGCAGGCTGAGGTGACCCAGCGACGAAAACGCGGCAGAGATTGGGTTCTTTTGTCGTGAAGTTTTCGTGATTACATAATCAGATTTGTTCTTATGTCAATTTCGTTCTCGAACTATTGTTAAAACGATTATTGTCGTTACGAAGTATCGTTATTCTAAGCTGCTATCTTTTGCTATCATTTTGGGATTGAATACATTAACTCTTCATAATATGTAGTTGTTACATTCTTTTCACAAAATCCTGAATAGCTCAAGCTTGTCAATTATGCTATTTATAATTCAGATATTTTTTAGTTAATATGTCAGATATTATTAGATATGTCAGATATTAATTATTAATTAATTTAATAATAATTAATTAAATTTTAATATTAATTAATATGTCAGATATTAAGATATTATTAATTAATATGACGTCGTCGCAATGAAACTGGTTTGATGCACAGCTTCCTGTGGACCGGATGATAATAAAAGGTCACGAAACTGGTTTGATGAAAATGACTGGTTTCCACTGAGAAGTGGAAATTATATAAGGGAAGAATTATATCGTAGAATTATAGCAGGATCGGCATTGCACCGCGCGGAGAGTGGGAGGCAAAGGGCGCCGCACTGCAGCTCCTCTGCGGTGCAGGATACTGCAATAGTGAAAAAGGAATTTGGAATGGAACGAATTGCTATTCACCATCAAAGTTGTGCTCTGAAATTGAAATGGTACTTCTTTATTTTTTGGTAATACGGAATTACCAAACAATTTCCAAATAATATAGTAAAGAAGTTCCATGGCTGAATTTTATTCCCGTAAGGAAAATGCAAAATTAGCCATGGCATGTTGCCAGTTATGTACTCATAAGTTATCTGTGTAACCCTGCAAACCACGCTAACCGTTAATAAACCCAGACTACACCCGATTAATCTGAGAGCGATAATCTAAATCAACATTAAAATCAAAACTTTTATAGCTTGTTGATCTTTTATTAATTTATTTGATGTTCTAATCTTTCTAATCATATTATTATATCGTAAGTATTATCGAGAATTTTTCCACAAATAAAAAACTGCAATAAACTTAGACATTATAAAAGGCATCAGCGACTGACTATATAGCCTTCGCCAGTCCGATCTGATATCGCGTTTGTCGGTCTATCTAAAGCATTTTAATGTCTGAGGGAAAAACTTATGCAGGAAATGATTTAGAACTGAAGATATTAAAACATTTAAGGACATCACCCCGAAAGAACAGATAAAGATTGATGTAGTGCGCGATCTCTCTGACCTGCTGGTTCTGTCGTGACGGCTGTCGCCATAGCAGCAGAGCATGCGTGGTCGGCGTCAGCGGTGCAGCTCTGTACCTGCGAGTCATGAGACGTTTGTATTACCACAACTGAACATATGATACGAATTTAAAAGGAAAATATGTGACACAAATTTATTCCGTGAGACGAAATCATTGCAGTAAAATTTAAGATTTGAGATTGCGTTAGAATTAGTAAGAAACGAAGAGACTTTATTGAAGGATTCTTGCCTAATTTCACAAGTGAGTTATTTAGTATCACTAAAGTATTAGATACCAAAGCTATAATTTACAGGTTGAATTATTAAACGGTGACGAAGTAAGAAGTAGTCTTCAAGGAGATGAAGTTCCAAAATACAGTGGTCATGTTTATGAAATTGAAAAACTTCTCACATGAAGAAAGTGAAATTGTAATTTAAGTAAAAAGGTTATGATAACCCATCATGGACTCCAGAAGTTCATCACACATTAATAATATAATAATAATAATAGCGGTTTCAGCGTTTATTAGGCCGTAGGCCTGTCGCCGATTCCTAACATCGCAAAACATTCACAGCTTGTTGCGGTCTCGAACTCGCAACTCACTGCTTCAAATTTCCTGCGCTAATCTTGGTACTCTGATCTGAACTTTAACCACTGGACCACCCATTGAGTTGAACTCATGTCGCGTTGAACACATATCGAGTTGAACTCATTTCGAGTTGAACTCATCGAGTTGCACTCATGTCACGTTGAACTCATATGATTGAACTCATGTCGAGTTGAACTCATATCGAGTTGAACTCATTTCGAGTTGAGCTCATATCGAGTTGAACTCATAATTTTAACACACTTCAAGTTCAAAACGAACAGATGCTAAAATTAAGATATTTGAGTTATTTTATTTATTAAAATTATATGATTAACAAAAAACGAAACAAGATAAAAACAAAATGCAACAGAAAAATGTATTGAACAAGATTCCTACGAAGATGTTAAATAAGTTTATGAGCTTCTAATTGAACCTCCTAACAAAATGGTTGAAGAAACTAAACAATTAAGGTTCGCTCAGAAAGATGCTCGTAATTAGCTGTAAACAATCAGTCATGCAGGAAGATTGGCTCCAGGTTATCCAGACTCTAAAAATTTTGGTCCATTAGCCACGGCATTTTAAAGTCGTGCAATCAAGCCTGGATCTGCGTACGATAAAACGTACGGCATAAAATTTGACGTGGAGAATTCTAAGGTATGAGATACAATCGTAGACATTCAAATTAATGATTGATGAATGGGTGATGATGCTCTTAGCGGGGCTGTTCGGTTATGGGTGCTACTAGTAAAACAAAACCAAACCCTGAAAACCGGGTAGAAAAAGATGTCAGAAATTACCTGCTAATTATAACACAGACTGAGGTTCATTTCAGGTCGGGTTGGACAAGAAAAACATGAGGACTTAAACATTACAAATTCATCAATCTACTGAATAAAGCGACATAGAAGGGAAAATATTGTCATGAAGTTACTACAATTAGAAGTGTAAGCTCTCCTTAGAGGGATCAAACCATAGGACAAAGGACAGGTACTTCAAAATCTGGTTCAAAACTTTCATTGATCATATAAGGAATAATTGTAATACCTTCAACCGGTAGTGATATTTTGCAAGATATTATTTATTATTCGACTTTCTGCAAGTTGGATACACAGGAATTCTCACACGAACTTCATAAACGAAATTTACTAAATAATCATTGTCAGGGAACGTGGGTTCGAAATATATGCAAAACAACGTCAAGTAGGCAGGTCGCATTTATAAACTATGATAAACGTTACAGGCTAAAGGTAGAAGGAATACGAGAAAGTCTAACAGATAATGGTATAAAGTGAAAATAAAAACTCGTGGACAAGGTTCAGTCCTTAAACCTGCTCAAGATACAAGCCTAAATTAATATCGATGCAATTATATTGATTTGTCATTAGTTCTATTATCCAAGCAAAATTGCAAACATCTATAGTTTTATCAAAAGAAATGCAGAGACACATATATTGCATTTGCCTGTAAGCTAACCTGCTCAGTGTGGGAGAATAGGGGCGGCAATTTTATTCAGGAGACCAAGCACTGAGCAAAGTGACGGAATTGAAGAAAAAGTCTATGACAGAAATGTGGACGGACCCCTTACTATCATGATGATAAACGTCAACATTTTGTGTTGAAAAATTAAATCACAAAACAAAGTTATTACCGACAAAATGACCTTCATTTATACACACTTTACAGCTGCAATGAAATGTGATAAAAATGAATTTCATGAACTGGCATTGGAAGGGACTGGACATGTATCGTTCTACCCGAATATCGACGAAACAAATAATAAATTTTATTAGGAATTTTTGGGCGATATAAACGTAAGGACAATCCCGACCGGATGCCACAAGATGGCGTGTATAAACAAGTAGGGTAACATGGGGCAGCGAGCCCACTGCGGGTCACGGGCCCATAGCGGGTTTCTCGCTAAGAATGGCAGATATTGGTCCGTGTTCTCTACCGCCGGTCGACAGTTTCACTGGGATGAAGTCTACGGATTTATGTTTTGCTAAGACCTTGCCAAAAGTTGATTTCAGTCAACACTAATGAGCCAAAAGTTGATGAGTTTTTATGATGTTGGCTGAAATCACTATTAGGTACGAATTCCCTGCACATAATATCTGGATTATGGACGAAACTGGAACGAAGTTTTTCTCTGATCAACTATATATATTTTTTCTAGTCAAGGATACATTTTTTCGTGTCAAGGACGAATTTTTTATCACAAGGATATATTTTTCAAGTCAAGGATATACATTTTTATGTCAATGAAATATTTTTCTTCACGTCAGTGATAGATTTTTTAAGCCAAGAGTATATTTTTTCAGGATAATGATATTATTTTTTGAGTTGTTAATAAATGAATGAATGTCATATTTTTTATTACATTGTTCTTATTTTTAACTGTAAAGTGTTATTTTATCATTTTTAAACGAAAAAATATGCAATTGTGGTGAAGGGACCATAGGTGGGCGCCTTGCCCCAAGCCCATGGGCCCATTGCCCCAGGGGTGGGGCAATGGGCCCATTTTGACGCTTTTTACAAAATAGTGTTTCATTAAAAATTGAATAACTCTATAGGCGTCCAATTCACATCATACATTCCTCATTAGTTGTACCTTTAAACAAAACAAAGACCCACCTCATATCAATTAAAACTTCATCAAAAATTTAGTTTAAAAAAAGTGGGGGGCGCGCTGCCCCATGTTGCCCTACATTAAAATATGCTCAAGGAATTGATTGATATTATGGCAAATACCAATGTACGATTTAATATGCTATAGCTACTCAATATCCTCAATTAAAAGTTTATTTGAACAAACACAACAACGTGCATACTCTCTTAGGCTTTGGCGCCTGTGTCCTGGAAGGTGAGGGAGAACATGTCAGTACGAATGTAGTAAATATAATGTCTGTTAAAACGTAATCACTGCTGTAAAATAAATGGATACATCAATATGGTTATTAATGTATACAATAACTTGAATACATTTTTCCCTAACATCCCCCATGGCATAAAAATATACAGTATTTTGGCCAACTAATTTATATTTAATCTCCTAATTCGGTTAACAGATAAAAATATAATTATATTTGAATAGTCGAGGCGAAAAAAGAACATTTAGATTGCTCTTATGATCAAGACATTACGATTATTTTTAGATAAATTAATTATTAAAATAGAGAGCACACAATGGAGCGGAACTGTTCAAATCAACTGAAAAAATTGACACTCATGATTATCGGCATCAAATTCGCAAACTTAACGACAGCAAGGTTATTAATCAGAATCAAGATCAGTTTCCACTAACATCTCAAAGTAGTCTTCATATCAAAGGAACGAAAGAGGATTGTAGTAATTATAATTCCGAATATGATATATAAAAAAAATAATAACAGAAGTGAGTATTTGTTCGACCGAGTATCTTGTAGAATAAGAAACGCGGAAATTGAGGATTATAGTTATACTGGTATTGCAACAACTTTAAAGGTAAAAACGTATTTGCAAGCCGCGTTGAAAATACCTGCATGTTCTTCTGGAGTCGTGATAGTTACTAAAAAAGCAAAAAACGAATAGCTGAATCAAAAAAAGAAGCGATTATTTAGGAACCGGTGATGGTTAATTCAGTGCCACAATTCCACCCGAACATTTTTTCATATTAAGTTAAAATCGCAACAAATTAATTTATGGAGTCAAATACCACTTAACCTCGAGTACAGGTGACGATGCTAATGCCCCGCCCAAATAAAAATTAAGGGTGGAGCACCGATGATTATAGGTGGCAATAGTAGATTATAGGTGGTATAACGGTGGGTGGCCAGATCTGCCAAAAATCGACAATAAAACACCAATAAATCGAAAGGATGGCGATTATAGGTGGGAGTCATCGATGAATCATCGATGATTTATAGGGTCTGAAACATCTATGGCTCATTGCAGACAAATCTCTTGTGAGCCACCGATAACCGTTTGCCCAAACTGCACAGTGCACGAAGGTATTTGACAATGTAATAATTTATCCAACGTAGAAAGGTGTTTTTATGTTGCAGGTCATTCGAGATTAAGACGAAACCATGACTTGTGCTTGGCGTTCTGACGTTCGTTCGGTGTTCTGAGACGAGACGTTCGGTGTGCTTAGCATTTAAGATTAAGTTCTGTTAAGAAAATTTAGCGAAAATTTAGCGTGAATTCAGTAGGTACGAGTAAACCTGACAAATAGAAGCAAGGTGTTCACAAATTTTCCAAACCAAAGTGAAGCCACTGGGCATGTATCAGACTGCTTCTGATATAAATTGTCCGCAGAACAATGGAAAATTTTTGTCGCAAAAAATAGTTTATCAAAAGATGACAGCGAATCCAATTTTTTATGTTCACATGAGATATTGAGTAAATTTATTATGAATTTTGCGTATACGCCCATTGGCTGTGTTGGAAATATTGCGATCAATTCAGACTAATTATTGAATCATTAAGTATAAATTGTATGGATCGATTAAGTGTGTTATATAATATTGACAATATTCTCCAATCGCCCCATTTATCTAAACTCTAAAGCCACGTCGACGTAGTCTGTAGAGGCAAGGCATCTCTAAAGCACAGCGGCTCGGCGGCTTCCAAGCACAGCGATCAGTCGAGTAAGCACACGTTCACACGAGTTGGGTTTACGGGAGTCGGCGTTGAGCTTCCTTCTAAAAATCTTACTAATCTTTTCTATGACCTGCTTACTACTAATCTTTACCATGTCCTGCTTGAAATATGTGCTTTCCGGGTTATTTTCTCGTCAAAGAAGTATCATTTTTACGCAGAGGGGTACCAATAAAAATTCGTCTTTCTATCGCTTACTTCGATAGTGGAATTTAATTATTTAGGGAAATTTGCTTATACAGTCCGATAATTATTACGATTTTAAGTCAAAATTATACTAGAGTGGTCCTGGTATCTTTTGGACGCAAAAGATTAAAGATTATGCAAGAGAAAAATAGTGACATGAAGTGGAGCAGGTAATTCACGCCTGAAATTTCAAAATAATCGAGTGATATCAATTACATTTTAAAAGTGGCCATCGGTGACTCATCAATGTGCCACTGGTGCCAATGGGTAGTTATTTGCGGAAGAAGAGCTTTACGGGTAGGGGGGCCATAGGCAGGTTATAGGTGTGGTAAAGGTGGTGCACGCCACCCTTAATTCACTGTATAAATCATAGCTGCTCCACCTATGGCGTCCGCCTATAGCCATCTTAAAAACATAGGTGCTCCACTCTTAATTTTTATTTGGGCGTCCGAGGCTAGTGATAATATCCGAATAATCAAGAAAAAGTTCTCGATGTCGGGATTACTTTCAAACGACTAATTTGGAGAACGTCATCTCATACACTTTCCGGAGAAGATCATATTGTATTGCCACAATGAAAATTAAATTTAATCAAATGCATATTTAAATCGATAATTATAATAAACAATTGTTAGACTTTGAATCAGAATAAACGTTGGACTTTGATACTAAGTTCAGGAACAAAAAGGCCACGTTATATCATCTTAATACTTCAAACTGCTAGAGATAAATCACTGATTTTAAATATACTGATTTAGCAGTGATAGCAAAAAATGCATTTTTTTCATCTGAATGAAAGGTATACTGGGCAAAACTTGACTTAGAACTGACGATTAAACTGGTTTGCAAAACGTCTGCTCATTAGAGAAACGCTGAATTTTTGGGCTATTTTATTCGCTTTAAAATTCTCGAAAACTTGTCAAAGTGGTTACATCGATTGCGATATGCTCTCTGCAGAGCTTCAATAAATGTGATGTGATACTTATAATATTAGTCATACATTTTTGTTGATCAATAAGGACGAGCACATCTGCTCTGAAAATTATTTAAAATTTTTGAATGAATCATGCAGTGTAAGTAACGGAAGTAATGCAAGCTCTGGTTAATTCATGCTGATTAGCTCGGAAATTAACGGTGCTGCATTGGGAGTGCAACAAGTCCGGTCAATTGGGCAGACTGATTGTTGCCAGTATGCTAGTGTGCGTAATTCCTATACTACACATACATGTAAATTTATATGAATACCCAGGGGGAGCATGAAAATCTTTCCTCGTAATCAATAGTTAAAAAAATCAGCAGAAAAAAAACAGCCACAAAATCCTTTTTCTTTGAGTGATTGACATACGAGGGCGAGAACTGCCCTTATCGGTATTCGATAATTTCAGATTCTATTCAAATTTTTTCTGTATTTTTCATTGACCCTCTCATTTCCCCCGAGCATCATCACAATGATGTTCCGCCGCCTTATCCCTAGTACCTACGCAGTTCTCTACACTGAGCCTGACCTCAATGTTGTACGTGCGTTCAGGTTTTAGTTCCTTGATGGTGTGGCAGAAGTGGGCTGCGCTGTCGCTGCACTCCGACGCCTGGACGTAGTGAAGGTCGCGGTCGCCGCTGATGGTGGTGACGCGGTAGCCGCTGATGGCGGCCCTGGGAGGACAAGGTTTCCTCCACCGCAGGCTGATGGAAGTGGACGTCGTGGAAGAGGTCAACTCCTCCACAGGCTCAGGAGCTGATGATAACCACGGAGTGTTTGAATTAGAAGAGGAGTCATGAAGTTTTGAGCACACTCTTGCTATTTGCTTTGCTTGAAAAATACCTCCAGAGATAAAAAGGTATCATGTTTAATAGATTTATATGTAGTAAATGACAACGGCGTCATCTTCATTTGTGACAGCGAGTGAGGAATTTAGATATAATGGCAATGGAGTTTTAATTATAGCAGTAAAGAGAGGCAGTTTCGCTCACCTTTGTCCGGCAGAGTCTGAAACACTTCACAGTTCTTGTTTTCTCCTCCTTCGTTGTACGCGTACACGCACACCTCGTACTCAGTGTACGCCTGCAGCTGCGTCAGCTCCCGTTTAGCCGTGGTAAAATTTTGAAAATATTGAACAGCTTCGGGTTTCTTTGGGGCACAGTCTTCTCTTGGTTTCATCTGCGTGAAGTATGCATAAATTATGACATTGAAACATGTAACAGTTCTTAAAATCCTTGCAGTAGCAGGTAGTTTTTCACATATTATGAAAATCTGCGTATAAATGAGATTCGTTACCAAACATTCATGGTATAAGATTTAAATCGTAAGTTGAACGATTTTTGGCGTAAGATGTTATGTTCCGGATGACTGAATCGCTTAAATTTTTATAGTACAAGTATTTTCAATTTGTTTTATTATTACTTGCATATATCTCTATCCTAAACAATGGTCACAAGTCTCAATGTGCAGGTGGCCCAGTGTTTAAAGTTCAGAGTAATAATGGAGCAGAGAGGTGCGGGTTCGATTCCAGCTCTGTGCGCCAGTTTCTGGTCAGAATCGGCGAGGAGGCCGGGCAGTTAAGCAAAGGAAATTTGAAGCAGTGAGTTGCGAGATCAAAACGGCAACAAGCTGTGGATGTTCTGCAATGTTATGAGTGGGCTACAGACCTACGGCCTAGTAAGCGCTGAAACCGCAATATTATTATCATTATATAACTGAATTATTCCAATCTTATTTGTTAGTACTTACTGCCAGAGTTACGTTGAAAAATTGCTGCCTTCGCCACGTCCAATAAACGCTGGCGGAGGTCACGGCAGGCGTGACAGTCAAGCGGGGGACGTCGGCTGCCAGGGGTAAAATTGCAGTTAATGTGGCGTTGGCACCGGGGAAACGCGGGAATATCCACCGCACTGACGTTCTTAGGCCAGAGCAATTTCAGGAGCCGCCATTATAAACCGAAGAAAAATTACCGTGTAAATGAATTCGGAAATTGATACAGAGGCACAGGTATCCATTAATGGGGGAATTTTTGGGTCATAAGTTAAGTGATTACTCTTATGACAACGCGACGATAATCTCACTATCACTATGGACTGAGTCTAGTACTTTGAATGTCCCTATGTTAGGAAAAATCATTTTCCTAACATAAAAATATCATGATGATACAACCCAAATAAAAATTAAAAGTGGCGCATCGATGATTATAGGTGGCGATGGTAGATTATAGGTGGCGTAACGGTGGGTGGCCACGCCAGCCAGAAATCACCATTGAAACGCTGATAAATTGAGACGATGCGCGAGCATAAGTGGCACTCATCGATTAATCATCGATGATTTATAGGGTGCTATTCATCGATGGCTTGGTGCAGTTTCACCACGCGTGGCCATCTCAATTGAGCAATAGCCACCAATGAAATAGTGTTCGAAGTTTGAATTGTTAAATATTTTAACATCTGTATAAATCATGAAGAAAAAGTGTGGATATACGATAGATAATTGCGTAAATACATAACGCGATGATTCTTTTCTTTAGGACGACAGTGAGTTTATTTCAATTTTGGTGTTCACATGATTACTATATAATCTATTCTGCGATTTTATTAAGATACTACGCTCTACGACGCATTTTATTCCAGAACGAAATTAGAAGCAAAATTCTTTTATTTTATTTCAGGTACGAAGTTATCACGCCATAAATAAACTGTTCGCTATCAAAAAAATCCTTAGAGAAAATGAACCAGCAAGAACTCGAAGATAAATCATAGATTGTATCACCATTTAAATGGCTAATTTAATGCTTAGGAAATATAGTGCAATATAGTTGACCTCATCAGGTTAGAAATAAAATAGTTATTCACTGATTTGCTCAATAGTTGCGCAAGGCAAGCACTCTCTGAAATATTTAGCAACGGTTTTCCAATGCATCAATAATTTTGTCTCATTCATAAACGGGCAGTTAGAATAAAATAAAATATATGAGATGGCGCTGAAGCAATAGGCCCATATGGCCTGTTAAAGTCTAAGGCTTCGGAGCATCTTGTCACTTAGGCTCCTCCAGCGGACCTATTAATATTCAAATTTAGGTCCCATAAGAATTGAGGGAGCTAAAAGCTGATTATTTGCCCAAGCTAGCTTTTTTAAGATTCAATCAGGAACGAAACGACGCAAAAATATGTGGTAATCCCTACCGGGGCATATTGTTATCAAATGACACTAATTTAAATTTGATGCAAATTCCTACAGAATGGGGAAGTTCGGAGTAGAAGATTTTGTGAGTTCGCTGGTGAGTTAGGAGGAATGTCTATTGGGTACAACTAATTGTTAGTTCGAATTAGCTGTTTGATCATCAGAGACAATGGAAGTTAACTTGGTATCACCTAAAGATTTTTCACGGTTTTGTAAAAGTCTTATATGCATTATGTTATGAAATGATAAAATTATTATGCTTCTACTTGAGTGTTTAATTTGACATCAATACGTAGTCTTCTCAGTACCGAGGCATTTGCCTATAGCTATATTATAGCAACAATTTCGCCGCTTAAATCCGCTGATTATTCCTTATCTAGTGTGTCTAAGATGATTCTTTGACGTTCCTTCACATCCATTGCTCCGAAAATTACTTGAAGGATGCAATAATTTTTGTATAACTAGCATTTTGAAATTTACTCAATTTTACAGCTTGAAATCAATGTAAAATGTTCATTATATAACATGATTTCAATAAAGCTAAAGCAGGTTCTCTTTTGACTACTTTGGGCAGTGCCTCGCTTGACTTCAGAGTTCAGATTGTAGTTAATCAGGCCCGCCTTACTTCGGCAGACCTTCCCACACCCCTCATATCTGCACACCCAGTCATTCATTCTTCTAACATTCCTATCCATTCTTGCCACATTTGCATCCCAAGCGTACTCATGCCCTTTCTGACAATCCCACTCATACAAATGTTCCATGCGTTCTTTCACCATGCCTTTCCATCCCTCCCTATCTCTGCTCAGCCGCTCCACATCCGTCCATTCCACTCCCGCTTCCTTCAACATCCTCTTCCAATACAAGACATTCTTCCTCTTACGCCCTTTCATCTTCCCGAAACCTTCCAACCTCTCATACCATCCTAGCACCATCGCTTTCGTCAGCCTCTCATTTCCCATTCTCATAACATGTCCGACTCGCTCCAACACACGCTTCTCAATCTTCCATCTCACACTCTTTACACTCAAGCGCTTCCTCACATCCCACATGTTCACCCCTCTCGCTTGCATTTGCCTCAAAGGCTGGCCATTCCGATCACTCCACACATATCTATAACACTTATCCATCCACTTTAGCAGCCGATTCATATCCTTTACATACCACACCCTCGCCTCACAATCATACAGCAGACTACTCTCCACACAAGTCTCCACCACCCTCGCCTGACACTTCTTAGACATTCTCGACCCTTTCAGCCACCCTTTCACTCTCCACCACAGATTACCAGCCCTCTTGATCCTGTTAGTCACATCCACTTCCAAACTCACCCAGCTCCCAAGTACTCTGATTTCACCCCCCTCTTCTGTCCCAAACTCAACACCTCCTCTTTCTCCTCATTGTTTCGTTCCTCCCACTGATTCATCACTTCTTTCACTGCTCTCACACCATTCTCGATATCACTCTTCACACCCACAATCGTAGTGTCATCCGCAAACAAAGCCATGGACACTCTCACTCTCACACACTCACTACTCCCCTTCTCCCATACATTCTCTCCAGCAAACGAACCCCCTGGCACCCATCTCCACGTCATCCCAAACTCTTCACCCCCGCTTCTCAGGATCGAAAATATCTTCGAACAATATAAAGAATTGTCAGATAATCTATCATTGTAGTATAATACAATTGTAATAAATCTATACGTCTCCACTTATTCTATGTATCACTCCCTGTAAAATTATAGGATCGCAATTAGCTCCTGTCCTTGGGCAGCGCACCAGTGAAAGTACCCTCCACTACACAGCGTATCTTCGCTAAAGTCTTTGCAACTCCGACGATACTTGCTCAAGTGTCATCTCCGTCACAAACCTTGCATGCCTGAAAATGTTCAATTGTGCTTAATTTAATAGTGAGTTAATGAATATTACCTGGGCCTGTGTTTCAACATTCTGTTTTAGTGACGCTTGAGATGGAAAGTAATACTGTCATCATTAGCGACATTATTTAACATTATTAAAAATAACCATAGTCAGTCATCAACCGAAATATTTATCACTGAACAAGGGCCAATGGCCATTACAATTTTCTGGTGGATTAGAGACCTATTCAAGCATCTCTAGCTTCACAGCATTAGGTATACTGGCGAACTGGGAAAGTAGGAATACGGACTGAAGCTCTCGATGAAAGGCCGTAGACTCTTCAAAAGTACTCGACTACCTGAGAAGGGAAAAAGTGAATAACAAACCACCCTTATAATAAACAACGCTACCTTGACACTTTCGTTGCGAAATGTGCGCAATACGAAAGTGTATGCATGAAAGGCATACTTTCGGATGCCTTGACAAACATTTGACAACGACCCCATGAAAGACGGAACAATTCACATTTAGGCACACTAACTACTATACATATTCAATCACTTCATTTCCGCTGAATATTTCCCCAGATGCACTGACACCTTCCGCCCGAAACTTAGCACGACATCAAGTGCAAAATTGCGAACCAATTTATTGTTAATTAAACGTTCACAGCAGGCCAAAAACAAAATACTAAACACCAGATTGTAAGAACACTTCACCATTCACCACACTCACAAACCTAGACAATACATTTTTTGGCAACATAGAAGGACACACTGCTTTAGCCTCATTCCTCGAAGCACTCGCCATGCACACATCTAAACGATAGATTACAGACATAATACTCCGTAAAGTGACGACTGAGATGCCCTTTCGTGCAAAGCCTCACCCTGCAGCGATATCATGACACGGCGATGAGAATGCAGAAACAGTGACTTTAGGTAACTTGCAGTAACGATGATCTGCGATCCCCAGGTAACTTCCGATGCATACAACCTTATTCAGCAGAACTCATGGGACTCTAGAAGGTTTCGGTGTTAAATATGATGCATAATTCCCAAATGCTCTGGAGGGACTCGACTTCCATTCTCTTTGTCTTATTAGAATCGGGAGCCCCTAAACACTACTCCAGACTGCGCTCCAACAATTCGCACATGCCCTATTGCATTCTGTCTAGCGCATTCTTATTCTTTAGAGGCCCAACTAGTGCACTTACTCTGGTCTTGGGCCTAATGTACTAATTTTTACATGGCGGATCAATTTATTAAAATATTTATTTATATTCTATTTTGTTCATACGAGTATGGTTCGGTTCAAAAAAAAATCATTATATCAATGACACCAGAAGGCAAATGCCTGACGAAGAGATTCAATCATAGTCTCATTTACTCTGAAAACGTCCTAACTTCGAAAAGCCTCACCTGAGAGCTAGGGTTGCACTGCCCCAGCACTCAGCACGGACCACCGTCAGCACAGGCACCTTCATCTTTCGGATGCAAGTCCTGGGGGGAAGGGAGGAAAGCGTTACCTGATAGATAACAAGCCGCTCCTGACTTGATCTCCTGACTTAGCTAAAGATACGTTAGATTATTGTCGGTGTTTTGGCGATGAAATGACTCGTTTGAGAATACAGGCCATGCATAATACATTCATTCGAGATCTGCGGTTGGCATCTCGACCCCAAATCGTCAAGCAAGCGAGCCTGCTGTCGCTCCAGCCCGTATTCAAGTCGCTGCTTTGGATGCGCTCACTGCTGGTCCTTCGCATTCAGCAAGTTGGGCTGTGCTCATGAACAATGTAGGTCTTGAACCAATTGACTACAACCTACATGATTGAAGTTGAAAAATTTTCCACTTTCGAGTGAGTATATTTTGAAGTGAATTTTATAGGTAAAAATTATGAATGTATTCTAATGAATTTAATATGGGAGGCTACCTAACAATCTAGGGCTGTTTTTATCGCTCAATGCGGAGATGCTCAGAAATTGAATACGAAGTATCGAGGGGAATACGAAGGGTATTTGCTTATTCAATTATAAGAAGTTAAGAAAAGGAATATGCTCTCATCAATATAGGGTTGGCGTGGCCACATAAGATTTAAAAAAGTTGCTACTAGCGTGTCCGAATGTATTGGACATCCCATATTTTTTTGGATGCCACAACATTCTGTATTTGTGTCCTCAAATTATAGTCATTTCTAAGCGATGTATTTACTCGCGTGGTGATTATACAGAGACATTTTTGGCATTAGTCATACTTTAATTTTCTTGTGTTAGAAAAAACACCGTTATAAGAATCATTTTTGTAGTGTGCGACGTCCGGTATGACTTTTATTCATATGGTTCATCTACTTGTATACCAAAAGTATAGTCGCAATTCCGTACATATTGTAGATCTTTTTCGGGAGCTTATTCAATAAAGCATAGTTTGGTTGACTTCTTTAATTCCTAAAATTACAATAATTTACATTTTTGATGACTTTCCCAAGGCTGAGGCTTCCATCATGTTGATGCAAAGACTGTATTAACTGTGGGCTTGGAATTTTTTTTGAAAACTGTTGCTAGATAATATAATCATCGTACACTCAGTTAAGTTATGCTCCCGGTAACACCTAGTCTAGATTACGAACTATCGTTTCTGTTATGAATGTCATTTCTCCTGTGTATATATTGACTTTATACGGTATAACTTGAATGGAATACGAATTTCATTTCATAGATGATGCATCTAAATCTGGGTCATCTGAATATGAAGCCTTGATTTGTGCCTATCATCTACGATATGAACATTATAGTCCCTTCATGTTTATTCTTTTATAAAAATATTCATGCTCGGGAGAAATGTGACATTAATATGGCAGCCGATAGTTCATAATCAATGCTAGGTGCTACCGAGGGCATTTTTTAAAAATTATTCCGAGAGGTGGCCATCGATGGCGCATCGATGCGCCACCGCCTCTAATGAGTAGTTATTGGTGGAAGAAGAGTTTTTAGGGTAGGGTGGCCATTGGCAGGTTATAGGTGGAACATAGACCGGACACGTCATCGATGCCGCATCGATGCGCCATCGGTGCTCCACCTATGATTTCCACCTATAGCCACCGATTATCATCGATGCGCCACCTAAAATTTTTATTTGGGAATGTAGGTTCTGTATAGAATTAATAGTTCACTTTCTTGCCTGTGATGGAAAACTAGCTCAAGGCTACAGTTCTCATGAGCGAGGCAGTGAAGGCATGAATCATTCTAAACCCACTGTTATGGAAAACTATTTCCGTATTTATTCATGCTAATAATATTTTTTGATTATGTTCACTTTCCAATTTCAAATCAGTCATTTAATACATCAAGACTTCCACTGAGTCTGATGAAACTAAAGTCTGATATGAGCCATCATCTCAATGACAACGACAGTGAACGCCAGTGAACAGCAGCAGTCATTTGATCAGTATTAATTAAATTACTGATATGACTTCCTCGTGTTCATATCCAACTGTCAGAAAAAGTTATTATTGAAAATGAATAACATAAATGACCCATCAAAACTAACACAAATAAGTTCAAATCATACACATCACAGGTGTAAACTATCTGAAATATTCTTTAACAACCCTCACTACACTTACACAGACAGAGAAACAGTCTTGGCATAAAACTTCATAACGTACGGTTTTAGATCCCAGATAACAGCAAGCAAACACGTATAGAACGTAGTTTGAGGACGAATTAATAAATGACTAAAGCAAAGAATTTCATGGAAAGTTAGGGGATAAGAGTTTAGAAAGTTAGGAAAGTGGCTTGACGCATTGTAGTGTGTTTAACAAGTGTTTGTTTCGAGACGGTGTGACCGAGTTTGCTTACATCGAACAATGGCGAGCTTATTGCTAGGTAAATTCCATGACAGGAGGAATTCGGCTTTTAGGCTTAGGGCAAACTGTGCGCGGTTGCTAAGAATAAAAAGGAACATAATTGCGCGCCAGAGATGATCTTCTGAAGTCATGGTTATATAAGCAAGCACGGTCTACAGTGGAAACTCATAAGCATTACTTTCGGCAGGTATATACTTTTTGTATATCCTTATATGGTACTTCCTCGTGGATGTATACGAACAACACTAGGTTATTAGCAGAAGTGCGTAAGCCTCAACCACATATATGAAGTTTGTTATTCACCAGAGTTGGGAGGGAAGTTAGTCAGTCAGAATGTCAGTAGAGTTACTCACGTGGTCGGTTTGCACAGCCGTCCTCGTCGCTGCCGCCGACGGTGTGGCAGTCGTTGTATCCGTCACACCGATCCCGCTCGCGTATGCAGCTGCCAGTTTCGGCGCACTTGAACTGATCAGAGCGGCACACGCCTGCAATCACGAGTAATGAGAAAGGTTATGTTAAGACCATAAATGAGAAAATGGTAACACGGAAGATAAATCTTTGGAGATCACGAAGTAATCTGTTGTTATACTGAATAACATAAATGGCCCATCAGAACTAACACTAGTAAGTTCAAATCATTCACATCTCAGTTGTAAACTATCTGAAATATTCTTTAAAAACACTCCTCTCAATTTCATGCTGTTTTATCAGTCTACCTTACTATATACTGCTACTTCCAGATATTCGGCACAATTATTTTCTATAATCAGGGTTTCTAAAAGAATTTAGAAATGGTCTTGGATTTGCTATTCATGATGTTAAATTAATGTTCATTCTATTATTTCAGCAGATTTCAAGAAGTGACGTAATATGTGAACCCCATGACGTAACTAGTGGCGCAATAAGCGAAGTCCAAGACTTAACAAGTGACACAATACATATGTGACACTTGTTAACTTTAATCTAACATTATATGTTTGTGCGACTCTGTCAGTTAATTAATATACATGTTTCTTACAACTAATTTTATTTGAACCTCGGCACGCAAGACCATTACACACACTTGGTCATCATATTAATTTAATACCTACGCCGACTCATTATGCGATGACACACACACTTACTGACTCATTACATCAGCCGTGTACTCACAATGCTTCTCATCACTCCAGTCCCTGCAGTCGTTATAGCCGTCGCATTCATTACGCTTGTGGATGCATCTGCCGTTGCCACACACGAAATGGTCGCCGGTGCAGCCTGCGATAAGTTAAGGAAATCGTGAATATTGGGCTACTTAATTAATATAAATAACTAATTTTATGAAGGGTGATCGGGTACGCGATTAGAGGGAGAATGTATAGGAGGTAAGAATGTGATGTAAGGGTTGTTTATAACATTGCATCAGAGATGTAGAAAAGTCTCAATATGCAGTGGGTTCAGCGGGCCCAAAACTTCCTATGGAAAGAAAATCTAGGCCCCAAAAGAGGTTAAATTCGACAACTCGACTTTAGTCACAGCATGCTTGGGAAACATTGAAAATAATTCGATAGCGAAACGTTGTAATTGAATGTAATTGAGGGATAATTATATTTATTAATTTTGTTATTCGTGAAAATAATTGAATGTTAAGAGCAGAAGCAGATCCCAATATTAACTCGAAATAAAAAACAGTAGAATTGCGCGGAAGCGTTTGACTCAACAGGAAACTCACAGTCGCGCTCGTCGCTGTCGTCGCCACAGTCCTCGTCTCCGTTGCACCGCCGCGTGTCGGGTATGCAGCGGCCGGTGTCGGCGCACTTGAACTGATCAGAGCGGCACACGCCTGCAATCACAAGTAATGAGAAAGGTTACGTTAAGACCATAATTGAGAAAATGGTAACACGGAAGATAAATCTTTGGAGATCACGAAGTAATCACTTGTTATTCTGACATGTATTTTATGCTGTGTTATCAATCTTTCTTACTATATACTGCTTCTTCCAGATGTTCAGCTCAATTATTTTCTATAATCAGGGTTTCTAAAACAATTTAGAAATTGTCTCGGATTTGCTATACATTGTGTCCCAAAAAAAAACGATACCCAACTTTGAATGGCTGTAACTCAAAAAGTAATAGAGTTAAAAAATTTTGGAAGGTCAGGATTTGTTTCCTATGTTTTTCTCCATCTCTCCACCAAAAAT